AAATGTATGTATGTATGTATTTGTGATGTCATTTGCCTCTTAAGAGAAACGTAATAACTTAATAACAGCTTCCTACCAAAACACATTTCATGATCTCAAGAAAATTTTCTCAAGCCTGGAGGTGAAGAGTTATAATACTAATGCTTAAAAATAGTGTTAGTAAAAAAAAAATCCAGAAATTCTGTACATTGAATAGAGGAAAAAAGTAGTCTCCCAATGAGGTATAGAATAATCAGTGGGGTGCTGGTAAATGATTCGTAGCATCTACCAGTTTCTGCATGTAAATACCCTGCCACAGCCAATTTAAAGTTAGCAATATGATGTAACTAGGGAAGAGATGGGCACCCCGTCACCTCTTGTAGACAGGTGCTAGTCTACCACACCACTCCACTAAAATGAAGCATTGTCAGATGTAGGCTTGCTTCTAACTTGGTGCATCAGCTAATGAAAGTTCCTTGTTTTTCCATCAGCTCAAATTAAGGCACCTCACAGCACACCGTCTGTTTTACAAAATAATCTGAGTGCTTCATGCTGGGCAGTGAACAGATGAGACCCCTGCCTGCATGGAGCTCACCCTCATTTGATGATAAAATAACTGATGGGAAAGGATCAAGCGTGTCATACATCAGGGTTATTGAAAAAACATGGTCAGGGAAGGTCCCTCTTTGGAGGTGGCCTTGAGAGGCACAGGAGCCTATGGATGACCCAGAGGAACTATTTGTTGAGTGGATGGTATCACTTTAAAGACTCAACTAACTCAACACCATCTTTCCCACTTTTCTGAGTAAACAAATTCCTAATTGGATCAGTTGAAATAATTGATATGAATTTGCTTGAGAAAGAAAATGTGAATCATTGTCATTACTGTACCTTGTATTCTTGTCCAAGCATGTGACAGCTAAGCCAGAACAAACGCTGCTTATTTATTCCACAAGATCATTTGGCTAGCAACTGTGGAATCCTTTGTTCTCTCAGAAATTACTAGCCAAAAGTGTTTTGGTAAACGTTTTCCCAACTCTTTAAAGTCTGCATTTTGTGTTCATTGGGACTTCTGTTTTGGGAGGGGAACATCAGTTTACTCAAGTTACTTTTCCCACCTGTGATTCTGTTGTGATGACTCTTCGTGTGCCAATTCTCAGTATGTATGGACCACTTACAGGCAAGGTTGGGACATAGGGTGGCAGGTGGGAACCAGACATTTCATTGTCATCAGCTTCATTACAGATGTTTATTTAATCAGTGCTGTTAAGCACCAGGTCATGGAAAACTCAGGAACTCTTTTTTTTTTGAGACAGTTTCGCACTGTCACCAGGCTGGATGGCTGTAGCTCGATGTCCTCTCATTGCAACCTCTGCCTTCCGGGTTCAAGCAGTTCTCCTGGGACCACACACATGCATCACCACACCCAGCTAATTTTTGTATTTTTAGTGAAGACAGGGTTTCACCATGTTGGCCAGGCTGGTCTGGAACTCCTGACCTCAGGTGATCTGCTCCCCTCAGCCTCCCAAAGTGTTGAGATTACAAGCGTGAACCACCACATCCGGCCCTCACTCTGGAACTCTTAACTTTTTCCACCTCCTTGGAAAGATGTTCTTCCCCTTGTGAACTGGGGCACTTAAGAATCTTGCGGATTTGAAGAAGTGTAGATGGCTCAGTGCAGCTGTAACTTAGCCCTCAGGTGCTGGCAGGGTTGTTCGCACAGTCACATGATTCTCTTGAACTAGGGGTACAAGCCGTGTGTCCTGGGTGAACAAAGCTGCACACTAAGCATGGTGTGTATGCCTGGAGCATCTCTTTTCCCTGGATTTTTAAGAAGGGAATATTCTTTTTGTTAGCCTCTAATTACATTAATATACTCCCCTTTAAACAAAAATTACAGCTAAAACACCTTTGGCCACCCTCCACACATCTGGCCCTCCCCAAAGCTAATTATTCTTACCAGTTTGATGTGTATCTTTCCAGACATTTTTGTATTTATGTACATATGTATGTACTCATAGAAATATTACCGATAATATTGTCTTGGTTTGTTTCGCTTCTTTAAAAAAAAATTATACATGGTATTTTGTAACTTGTTTCTTCCACTTAGCAAGGAATCATAAAGATTTAACCATGTTAGCATATGTAGATTTGTTCTCTTTTAAAAAATTGTAATAAAATACGTGTAATAGGCTGGGCACAGTAGCTCACTCCTGTAATCACAGCACTTTGGGAGACTGAGGCAGGCGGATCACCTGAGGTCAGGAGTTCGAGACTAACCTAGCCAACATGGTGAAACATGGTCTCTACTACAAATGCAAAAATTAGCTGGGCGTGGTAGCGGATGCCTGTAATCCCAGCTACATGGGAGGCTGAGGCAGGAGAATATCTCGAACCCGGGAGGTGGAGGTTGCGGTGAGCCGAGATCATGCCATTGCATACCAGCCTGGGCGACAAGAGCAAAGCTCTGTCTCAAAAATAAAAGAAATAAAATAAAATAAGATAAAAATAAAATAACCATCTTAACAATTTTAAGTGCGCAGTTCAGTAGTGTTAGGTACACTCAACATTGCTGTGCAGCAGGTCTCTAGGACCCTTTTCATCTTACGAAACTAAAACTGCATACCCATTAAACAGTAACTTCCACTTTCACCCTCCTGACCACAGGCAACCACCATTCTACTCTGTGTCCCTAGGAACTTGACTACTCTGGGTACCTCATATAAGTAGAATCATGCTGTTTGTCCTTTTGTGACTGCCTTATTTCATTCAGCATAGTAATGTCTTCAAGTTTCATCTGTGTTGTAGCATATATCAGAATGTCCATCCTTGTCAAGGCTGGCTTTATTCTCTCTCTCTCTCTTTCTCTCTCTCTCTCTCTCTTTATTTATTTATTTATTTATTTATTTGAGATAGCGTTTCGCTCTTATTGCCCAGACTGGAGTGAAGTGGCAAAATCTTGGCTAACTGCAACCTCTGCCTGCCAGGTTCAAGCAATTCTCTTGCCTCAGCCTCCCAACTACAAGCAATTCTCCTGCCTCAGCCTCGCAAGTAGCTGGGATTACAGGCACCCACCACCATGCCTGGCTTATCTTTTGTATTTTTAGTAGAGACAGTTTCACCACGTTGGCCAGGCTGGTCTTGAACACCAGACCTCAGCTGATCCACCCACCTCAGCCTCCCAAACTGCTGGGATTACAGACGTGAGCCACCGCGCTTGGCCCAATTTTTATTTTTTTTATTTTTATTTTTATTTTTTTTTAGACTGATCTTGCTCTGTCACCCAGGCTGGAGTGAAGTGGTGCCATCTTGGCTCACTACAACCTCCACCTCCCAGGTTCAGGCAATTCTCCTGCCTCAGCCTCCCCAGTAGCTGGGACTATAGGCATGCGCAACCTTACAAAGCTAATTTTTGTATTTTTAGTAGAGACAGGGTGTCGCCGTGTTGGTCTTGAACTCCTGGCCTCAGGTGATCCTCCCGACTCGGCCTCCCAAAATGCTAGGATTAAAAGTGTGAGCCACCACACCCGGCCACAATTTTTCATTATTACAAATGATATTGCTGCATTATATTTGTTAAAAATAAAACATTGGCTGGGCATGGTGGCTCATGCCTGTAATCCCAGAAGTTTGGGAGGCTGAGGCAGACAGATCACCTGAAGTCAGGAGTTAGAGACCAGCCTGACCAACATGGTGAAACCCCGTCTCCACTAAAAATATAAAAATTAGCTGGGCGTGGTGGTGGGCACCTGTAATCCCAGCTACTCATGAGATCGAGGCAGGAGAATTGCTTGAACCGGGGAGGCAGAGGTTGCAGTGAACTGAGATCATACCACTGCACTCCAGCCTGGGCGACAGAGCCAGACTCCATCTTAGAAAATAATAATAATAAAATGAAATTTAAAAAAAAAGAAGAAGATAGCGCATTTTAAATGCGTGTTTAATTAACTATGCAATACTGATTTTGTCATTACACTTAAATAAAATGGGAGAGATCATAGCCAAGAAATAGCATTTTCTTTTCTCCTTAGGTGTGTTTTCCCTGAATGTTTGTTTTGAAGGTAGGCTGTCCGTCTTTGCTGTTGAGAGACCCACATCAGTCGTTATTACACTATACCTGTTTCATATCAGTTCCTGTTCTTGCTCAGGTTGGCTGCAACCCTAACGAAGATGTGGCTATCTTTGCTGTTGACTCATTAAGGCAGCTCTCCATGAAGTTTCTTGAGAAGGGTGAATTAGCCAACTTCCGTTTCCAGAAAGATTTTCTGAGGCCCTTTGAGCATATTATGAAGAAAAACAGGTATGTGTTTTACTGTGAAAGACCCGTGATCAAATTCCCTGTGGGGGCTCCCTGAAGCCCTCCTAACACTAACCACATGGTTAACTTTTTTCCTCCCTTGTCAGTGGAAACAAATAGAATAAATAGACTGTGATTCACGTAGATTTTCCGTAAATAAATCACTAAAATCTATGTGTAACCTTTCCTAGGAGGACAGATGTCACCCTGCAACTTGTAGAAAATATGTCATGAACCCCTGTTGGGGCTGGTGCTGAGGGAGGTTAAAGAAAGAGCCACTGCAGAAACATCCTCAAACCAGGATAAGAATTGTGTGACCCAGCACTTCTCCCCCAGGGAGGTCATAAAAGATGTCAGGACCCCGGACCCTGTGAAGCAGCCATACTGTTCATTTATTCACTTGGCCTGTACTTATTGAGGCCTGCCATCTGCTAGGTACTATAAAGAAGACATTTTAGGCCGGGCGCGGTGGCTCAAGCCTGTAATCCCAGCACTTTGGGAGGCCGAGACGGGTGGATCACGAGGTCAGGAGATCGAGATCATCCTGGCTAACA